AATCTTTGATCTCAGTTATCACGCGTCTTTGAGATTTGATGGCCCTCTAGGGCTGCCTGACCGTGCATTGTGTGAGTAAATCGGTCACTTGCGGGAACAGGCCATCAAGTATCAAGTATAGTGTGCCAGTATAGTATAGAACAGTAATATGGTGGTTTATATTTATATACAAGTTATGTCCAAGTGAGTGTGTTGTAAGTGAGCGGGAAAGCAAGAGAAGGAGGAGTTAAAGATAAAGTGAGGTGTGTCCCCCGAAAACTATGTCCGGTCACGTCACCCTTGACTCCACTACTGCCCTTCACGAACCCACTCCAGGTCGGTCTTTTATAGCGCATAAATATCAAAAGCTCCATCGCTACATGACAACCCTCTGACTCTCACTTGCTCTTTATTATCAGGGTTACTCTGTGGTGATATTGAAATATTGATTTTTTCCTTTTCGATACACTAACGCTCATTATTTCATTGTCTTTAATGATTCATTATTATTATTATTATTGTTTTATTAAAAAAAAAAAAATTTCAAACAAATTTATCTCAAGTTTAAGATTGTAAATTTTAATTATATTTTTCCAAAAAATTTGACTTCTAGATTTTTCCGAAATATTAAAATATATTTGTAACCTCAAATTCAGGAAAAATGTTATAATAATTTTCAAAATTAGAATTTTTAACTGTGTAAATCCTAAGTAATCATTACAATTATATAAAAAAATAAAATTGCTTACAGCTACAATAAGAAATCGAATCTAATTGAGAAACTCATTTTTTTGTGATAATGTATGATAAAGATTAATTACTGAAAGTATTTTTTCACTACAGCCAAAAAGTTGGTCTTGTTAGTATGATCAAGTCGTATCTGTATATATCATTCTTAACATTGTAGTGAAGTAAACTTTTGCTTATCACAGATTTCTTAATGGGACTAAGACTTATAATTATCGAAATCACGACTTACAAATTGCCAGTACAATTTTAGAACAGTTATTTCTTAAATTTAATAGAGCTACGATCGCTTGTCATAATGAAATTATTTTTCGAAATGTTACTGATTAATAATCAGTGATTATTGTACTTAGTTTATTAATTACCAGTGGAACACAAGGATATAAAAAAGATCATTGTCTACTAGATGGTACTATTGTAAGTAAATAAATAAAATTTATAAAAGAATTAATGGAATTTATGAAGTTTTTTTTGTAATTCCCGGGTCAAAAAATTTAGTCTGTTTTACGATTAATAAAATTTTTTAATATTTTTCATTCAATTTAATTTTATTATGTGTATCTATTTTATATGAGAATTTAATCTGTTTTTGCCCGTACTATTCACAATTCAGACCAATTTTAGATCATTTTTAATGTTATAATAAAATTGTTTTTCTATTGTTTCAAGACCGAAATCAGACCTTATTTGTCACAATCATTTAGCTGGTTTTGATCGCATCAAGGTCGAAAACAGACCAAAACGTTCTATAATTTTTAGTCGGTTTTTCATCGCCTGTAGATCAAAAACCGACCTTTCACGAATTTGATAATAATAATAATAATAATAGTAATAATAATAATAATACATTTATTTATTATTATTTTATTCGTGTCCTCGAAGATCCTCTACAGGCCACGGCTTTTCATTCTCTGAAACTGGAATAGTGACCATTCACTATTTCGTAGTGCAATGTATACCATACGGTATTCTTCGCACTACCAAATAGTGAATACTGCTCATTAAATGATGCGTGAAAGTATAAAATTTAACATTAATCTTGTCAACATTTTAATCTTGTCTCGATGTATTCACATTGTGTTTATTAACGATAATTAGAAAACTCTAGATTTAGATCCATAATCAAACGATGAGAACTATTTTATAAACGTATATTAATACAAATTTATTAGTTATCACTGCAACTAATATTCGCAGTTACAAAACTTTTATAATCCATGAAATGTTGAGCTATGACAAATAAATATGACAGATGTAAGGTTATAATCGACGTTCAGTTCATAAAACAAGAGAGCGCATGAATATATTATAAATTAATTAATTAATTTTTTCAAATAAATGCGACTTATAATTTTTAATGAGATACTTTTAAGTCCAAAAAATTATAAGTCACCATCTTAGTCGACTTTTGGCCTTCGAACATTTAGAGTGAAAATTGTAGATCAAAAACAGTATAAGATTTCATATTGAATTTGAAAACAATACATAAAGTCCATTTACAAATTAACTAGACTAAAAACCGATCAAACTTTTAAAACTTTTTAGTTTCATTAGATTAGAAACAGCATAAAATATTCATAGCTGCTCAATTATTTTACTAAAAAGTTATTTAGACTTAAAACAGATGAAAAATAATTTGAATAGTAGATCAAATACAGATGAAAATGTTTTTAAAAGTTCAAATACAGATCAATAAGTTCAAATGCAGATCATTTAGCTTAAAACCAGTTTAAATTTTTCGACCCGGGAAGTATTAAAATTTATAAATTGTATTTGAACTTCCATTGCTGTTCTCGAAAGTGTGATCGGACACCTAAGTCTTTTTTCATCCAGGTTCAATACTGCCAATACAGAATTTGACATCTTCACTAATAATACACTGACGCTCCTTGAATAATAATTCAATTGTCCTTAATTATTTTTTTATGTATTACACCTGAAAAATTGTACACTGAAAAAATAAGTTTTAGTCCGACGTCTAATATGGCGTTTTAATGTATGAGTTCCATTTTTAAACGGATTTCTTTAAATTGAAAAATAATAGGTTATTATAAAGAGAATAATATTATAACTTCTTTCGATTTATTACTATTCGCTACTAATAATATTGCAATTAACTTTTCAAAAACCAATTGTTAAAATATAGTATATTACATACCTAGGCCAGTAAAATAAGAAAAGTCTCAGACCACATGTAATTGTTGGCCGAGGCGAAGCCGAGGTTGACAAACATGTGGTCTGAGGCTTTACTTTTTACTGGCCAAGGTGTGTATACTATTTTTCTGCTCGACGTAGCCGGAATGTGGCAACTTTGTTTAGCGCAGCGGCCAGAAAGTTGCCACTTTCCGGCCGGAGGGCAAAAAAATTAGTTATATAATTTTTAAGACGATATTAATCTTGCATGGCAAGTTTTATGTGCACAGTAAAAAAAATTTTTTTTTTATTGTATTACACGTCACGACTCAAAGTAATAAAAAATTTTATTCAATTTTGTAACTAAATACAAATAAATTACAAAAAAGTGAAAATTAACGATTACGTTCTGTTGACTTGATTATTTTTAGAGTCAAACTATTCTTATTTTCTTTATGATTAATGTATTGTCAATCATATTTATTTATAAGTTTTAATAGCACAATAATAGTTTTATGCTCAAAATGTCATGAGTGTATATTTAAAACAATTTTTTTAACTTTATCTAGTGACGATTGCCCGTAACAATATCACTTAACGTCGAAAATGTTACTTACAATTTTAATTTATTTATCAATTACCATTGGAATTGAAATGCAAGGGGTTAAAACCGAAAGCTGCTTACAATTCGACAGTATTGTAAGTACTTAAGTGTAATAACTAATAGATAATAATAAATAAAACTACAATAATTAAACATAAGAAGAAGTAAGTAATTAGTTTACTCTCCTAGCTTATTTTCTATTTTCGTTAATCGATTTTTTTAGCTTTAATTTAAAGTATTATTAGATCAAATCAATAGATCACAAAATGGATAATTATTCGACGAATTATAATTTATTATAGTGTTCAAAAAACGATGAATGCTGCCACAATAAATGTAATCAAGCTGCTGGAAGACGTTTCTCCACCTGTGAATTAAAAACAAGCATTCGATTTGATAAAATACTCATAAATGAGCGATTAATTGTCTCCCATCCAAAATACTGCTTTCCTAGTAAACATTATGTATGTAATTTATAATAATTTTATTTTATCATTTTATACACTGTCAAAAATTTTCGAAGTGAATTTAATTGAATAAACATGAAAAAATTGTTAATACTTATTTAAAAATTGTGAACTGCGTACGAAGAGATTTTTAAAATGAAAATTAATCCAAACTCAATTAATTTTCGTCATAATTTGATTTTTTTTATCTTAATAAAAAAAAAAATTGGACTTTCAAATTTTTTTCAGCTAAATAAAAATTTATTTTAGTTTAAAAACTTTGTACTCGGTATCCCGATTTTTTTTACAGTGTAGTATAGTTTTAGTCTTAGCTAATAAAAACAATAATAATTTATTAATAACCTCTATTAATTCAGTGTCTGGAAGATGATGATTGCTGCTCTGGAAAATGTATTCCTGTTGGTCTTCCTCCAAGTTATTTACTGACAGCTCAATTTTGCTCTGGTTAAGTGTAATAATCTATAGTTGTCAAATAAAATAAAAATGAATGATATTATTTTTATTAATCAATTTTAAAACCTATTTAAAATCGCAATTTTTACAAATCGCTCTGCTCCGAGGGTTAATAAATAATTCATCGAATATCACTTCGATATTTTCGATATTTCAAAAATGTATTCATATAATAAATTTATTTTAAATATTTTAATCTATTAAAATATCAAATTAATTTTAATTCAAATTTAAATTTTACTTTATCGATAGTTGATAATTTTCTCAGAACTTTGTTTGATTGGTTGGTAATTAAAATTCATAGAAACACGGAAAAGTTATGATTCAAGTTGCGCGCGCATTTTATAACCTCTGAAAAAACAATTCTAACCACATGCAACAAAGAACTGGTGTTAATGTTTTAATCGTTTCTGTTGTTTGTGATCACTCATTATCGCAATTTAATTTTATTCTCAAAGACTACGTCATGCTACTATACTACACGTGTACGTAATAAGTGTAAGTGTTTACTATCGAAGCTAATGAGTATATCAGTATTAGCAGCGCTCCAAAAGTAACTTAGTGCATTAACAGTAACTCGGCGTGTAAATACATACATTCTTATAACTTTTACCGACATGTCACTGTTTGTTTTTTTAAATCTGTTAATTCTTATCGGAACACGCGTAAGAACGATACTGATAAGCGAAGCCTGTTTGAGCGATGGCAGTTACGTATGTATTAATTATTCTTGTTATTCATGCACATATCATTAAGCAGTATGCATATACATTATCCAAGTTTGTCGATTAATTGTCATTTTTATTCTCGATATTTTAGTGCTTGCAGGGGAGCGAATGTTGTTCGAAAAGATGTGAATATTTAACAGAAAATTACTTTCCTACTTGTATTTTGGAACAAAAGGAAGAATACACCAGCAATATAATTGAAACTACGACTTCATTTAGCGTTGAAGAGCCATCATTTTGTATAAAATATGGTCAGGTGTGTGTTTGTGAGAGTAATCAAAAATTAGAAATAGAATTCTATAAATATTTTAAGTTTTGTTGGTTATTATTGTTTTTTTCTGTTTTTAGTGTGAGAAAGATAAAGATTGTTGTTCCAAAGAATGCGTCATATCACAAAATGGCACTGAGTTTAATCAATGCAAGGAAATCCATCGAAGGAGGAAACATCAATACTCTTGATTTAAAGATTTCAAAGAACTGTTTATTTATAAAATTTTCTATTAATAAAAAAAAATAAATTTAGTACAACCTGGTTATAAGATACTTCTCAATTTTTTTTCGCTTGTCTTCAGTTCAATTGAGAAAATTTTTTGGTTCTCGCGAAGAACATTGTCGCTGCAGTCCAGAAAAATATACTTTTCATCTCTCATGAATTGCGATTTACTGTAATTAAATTATTTATTGATTAATAAATTAAATAATTTTAAAATACCAAATATGATGATTAATAAAAAAAATAACGAACAAAAGCAATCTACGTAAGATTTATTCGAGGTCCCTTAGGACAGAAGGTCAATTTCGATAAAAAGCTTGCTACCAAACATAGACATCGAGGAAAGAGACGCGATATTTGCAGACACTCGAAAAGTTCTTTTGGGACTAAATCCAGAAATTGATAACAAACAAATTCAACATCAGAGACTGTGTTCCTTTATTTCTTCACTTGTTTTCAGCTTCAAGATTGAACTCTCCTCAAAGACGAAAAACTACACCAAACTTCTCCTATCCCATCCTATATGTACTGTAGAGCACTCAAGAGGAGAGGAGAGAGAATGTTAAGGGTAAAAACCGTCGGGAGAGGGTTCACAAAGTGCTCGGCAGGGTCTGGGGTGAGGAAATGTTCTGCATGAGGAAGAAGGAGGTGGCTCGAGTGGCTCGGCTTGAAAGGTAAAGATTTAAATGCCCTCTCGCAAAAAGCATTTAGCTATTCCCCGTGGCAAACGACCATACCGTAACGCCGTTGCGTTCTACTGCCATACTCTTCCTGCTGTTCATGCTACGCCGGCACACCAGGAACATATTTTAAACAGATTCCCTTTCCGTTCTATGGATACTATTCGGATCGAGCTATATTTATGTCCCTGGACTACTCTAGTCTGTGCTTTACTATATTATGTTTGGGATTTTGATTTTATAGTATATATTAGGGTGATTCTTGTTGGAAGAAAATTTTTTTTTCGCTCTCACAGCAAAACATTGTTCTGTAAGGTAAAAGACCCAGTTATTGGAAATTAAAAAACTAAAATGTTCTCAAAAAGCTAATTATCTTCAAATTTATAATTCAAAAATTGTATTTATCAATTTATTAGAGTTAATTTGTTTTTTTTTTTTTTTTTTTTTTTTTTTTTTAATTAAAATAAAATTGCAAGTGTCATTAATTAGGCCAGTGTCAATAACTGGGTCTTTTACTTTATGCTGGAAAAAAATTCACTAAAATTTTGAGCCCTTAATTTTAATTACAATTAGTGTTTTTAATTTTAAATATTTTGTTTTCTTTAATAAAAAGAAATTTAGGATTTTCTGTTATATAACTTGGTGGCAGTTTTATATATTATCTGTATTTTTAATTTTTGGTATTCTATACAGTCAAAATTAGATATTCTTCAAAATTGATGAAAAATTTTTATATATTCAATAATAATTTTGCTGAAAATTAAAGAAAATTTGCTAATTTAGGATACATTTTACTTAAGCATCAAATAATTTTTGAAGAAATGAATTTATCAAAAAATTATAAGATACCTTTTTTGTAGAGCGTTCAATTTCATACGGACATTTCACGATTGGATGCTTGTAAGACAAAATAAAAAATTCTAAAATTTAGAATTAAATTTTCCCATGTTTTTTAAATTGAAAAATTCCAATTCGCGACTTCTAAATATCAATATTAAGAGTTCAAATTTTGACGGACTTTTTGCTTCGAGAAAATCTCATGATTATTTAAAAAAAAAAAAAACTTTGCCGGTTTTTTCTGATACACTCAACTGTATCCATTTGTGAGTTCGAGACGCACTACAACTTTTTCTATTCTTTTTAAAGTAAAAAAATAAAGAATAGTGGGTACAATTTAAAAGGTTTAGAACGATTTCCCTAAGGGGTGCGATTGTCGGATATCGACTCGTGAGTCTCTTTTACATTATTTGCGTCTATATATATATATATATGTGTGTGTACTTGTGTAGAGAACATAAAGCCGATACTTTTTATTTAAGCATGTATCTGCGAGCGTTCTGACTTATTGCCAAGTCTTGTGTTATTGCACGACCGAAAGTTATTTTTCCATCTTTCTTTTGTGATTCTACGAATATTTATTTATTTTTTTTCTCCTTTATGGAGAAGAGAAAAAGTTTAAGCAGAGGTACTTTTTGCTCTATGACCCTCGGAAGCTTACGGGAGTATGTAAAATATTTTTGTACATAAGTGAAAAATGACACGTGGATATGAAGAGCTGGGAATATTAGAAAGGTAGAAGGGAAAATTTAATAATACTGTAGCTATGTATGACAGGAAAGAGTGATACCAGTCTAGTCGCTCATTTTATGTTTCATATTTGTTGGTACTTTTTGAAGATATTACTAAGAAAAAAAAAAAATTACGAATAAATTAGGCTCTGAAAAAAATAAATGAAAGTAATAGTACCAATTATCAACACCATAAGACTTTCATTTTCAAAGGATGGAATGTCTTGGGAGATAGTTAAAGAATTAAAAGCACTTAGGATGATTTAAAATAAAATTAATAAGCAGTGCTTATAACCCGAAGCGCAATTTAAGAGGTGGAGCTTTTGATTTCTATTATAGCCAGAATATGTGATCAGAGTATTAGTAGCTCTGTATTATTAAGAGATGAAAACCTCGGCACAAAGGTAAGCACGCGGTAGACAGATATGTTTTGAGAATTGGAAAGATGAAGATAAAGATAAAGATGTTTAAAGTCCTCGGGCAAGGACTTTTCCGATTTGAATGCCTGCCTGATTTAAAATTCATCAGCCTCTTTAGAGCTTATTTTTTTCGCTTAGCTACCGGGTATTTATTTTTGCCTCATTTCTCATTCATTCTTGTGCAAACGTCAAAGGGAAACGCAACGGCTAATCCTGTATTCCGGCCGACAGAAATATTCGCGTCTTTTGTCGACTTAAGGAGATTGTTAAATATCATTAATATTATATATTTAATATCATTTTTATGAGTAGAGGAAATGGAATTGAATACAATGTGATGATTTATTATTATCAATTTTTAATCCGGTTTAGTAGACTGGAAAAAAAAAAATTAATTGATTAAAGAAAAATATTTGTTTCAAAATTTTTTCTTAAAAATGTTTCAGTAATATTTTTTTTATTTTCACCAGACTGTTTGTTAACTTAAAATTAATTGTAAAATAGGGTTTGATTACCCTTTGAGTAATTTAGTCAGAACATTTGACGGGTTCCGTGGATCTCGTTGAAGCAATCTAATAAGCCGCGGTTGAGTCAATAGCTCGTTGGCTGTATTCAATTAGTCTCAGTACAGCAACAGTGTAAATACAATGTACGGCATATACTGTTACGTACTTACAATGTGTGCGTAGTACACTCAGTGAATTAAGTGTAAGTTAAATTTTCGTGTTGAGAGAAAGCGAGGGTTTATACGGTGCAATAGAGAAAATACTTCAGTCAATTATCATTTCATTGCCGAGTATTAAATTACTTAATGCCGGGTGTTTCAATTACTACCAATAAATTATTAACTTTAAATACATAAATTATTAGAGGAATCTCTACTGGCTGTTCAATAACAAAAATCATAATAATAAATATAAAGAAGCAATAGATGTAATTACCAAGATTACGGGGCATGATTGATCGGCTGAGTCAATACAAGTGATATCGAGGAAATGACAATACGGTGCAGAGTACACGGTACATTTGCCTGCGAATTTACAGTACAACTTAAAGCGGAATTTTTTTTTTTATCTGTCGATCGGCGAAAACTATTACCACCCTGGGAGCAATACTGTACCTAAGTCGACGCGCTAATGTACGATATTTTATTCCCCTTTAGTGAATAATGACAATAACAACGACAACAAGAGCAGAGATACCCTTCAATAAGTGTCTAGAGTGAGGGTCGTTTTAAAAGATTTGGCTTAAAATTCTTAAACGACAAATCGAAACTCATCGTCAAATCGCATAACATTTACGCTGTAAAAGACATTCACCGAGAAACCATTTTAATAAATTACACAATTCAATTTAATCCAATCCAATAGCTGTATATTGTTTCGTTGATGCAGTAATTTTATTTTTACTTTTCGTTACGTCTTTCCCTTTTTATTATTCATCATAATAATAGTAACTTTAATCTCAATAAGAATAAAAATAAAAAATAATAACAATAAATAGCAAATATTTTTATAAAAAAATTTTTCTTGTTCTTTTGATTATATAGAAGACAATGATAATTTTTGCTGATAAAAAAAATTATTAATCAAAAGCATTGAAGTTCCATCAATTCAGAATTAAATTTATTCGACAATCAGTTGATGACGTACGCAATAAAATTATCTTCCAATCAGATGAGGTCATTCTTGTTATCCATTATTTCTCTTTCTACTATATTTGGTAGTATATCGATTTACAATAAAGTAAAATCAAAGCAGCGAGCAAAATTTTAATGAGTTATGGAGGAACATTATTGGCTGTCAGTTATCTGTTTTCACTGTATGTCGATATCGGTGTTGATGTTGATTATCATCAGCAGAGAGCTAACAAAGACAAAACTTTGTTGCATAACATACAGAGATAGAAATATAGAACAATAATAAATAAATAGACGAATACGATATGAAATTCGATGATCCACGAAAATTAGTCGAAGGGTAATCGCCTCCATTGCACCGATATCAATGTTACTGAGTAATGTGTACTGTATACTGTAACAATTCCTCATTCCACTTGTTAGCGTATCAATCTCGATTCACCACAATTTCGAATATGACAGTGCATAATTATAACGTCCACGGGATCATTTTACACTCTTCTATTTATACAAATTTACGATAACATCATCACCTATAAGTTCGCGAACTCTTTAGTGTTGTTGCTGCTGATTATCGATCACCAAATTATAATTACAATTACGATCATACCTATCATTAGTTATTAGTATTAGCATTAGCATATGTTGACGCAGCAATTC